CTTTTAATCTGCTGTTATTTATTTTTGAATTTCCTCGTATTTGGAGTGCCCAACCTAGGGTATGTAAGAGTGGTTTGTAATATGTTGGTACAACTTGAAATCGCATGGGGCTCCCTCAGTTGTTTTAAAGATGATCCTTGTCCCCACTTTTTTTTCTTTCTGTTTTTTACAGTTTACGTACAACTTTCTCTCTGGACAGATTCAAAACTCATTATCATCCTTTTTCTTTAACCGTAAGGCGGTGCAGACTCACCTGGTGCTGTGTGCGATGTGAAGGCAGATCGGTGAGAAAGCAGAGTTGTTAAAAGGCGATGAAATTAAGAGTAAAGATATGTTGATCCGTCCTGAGGCTTCGCAGCGTAGTGGCTCAACACTGCCCCCCCCCCACACACACACAGCCGGTTAATCATCAACATCAATGTGTGTATACTCTCTACAGCAGGGGCGTCCAAACCTTTTTCACCGAGGGCCACATACAGAAAAATACACAAAGGTTTGGGCCACTCACTAGAGGTGAGGTATATTGCCTCATAAGTTAAGTTGTAAGTCGGCAAAATCAATCAAATGTGGGTAAATGATGCTCAATCAGCGCACATCACATCTCTCCATAGGGTTTCAATTATTTTGTTAGCAGCTCATTCCTTAAAACAGAAGCTTCAGATTGCTGATAATAAGAGCTAACAATGACATTATTGTTCTATTAATATAAAGGGAGGTCAGGTACTCTTTAAAACGGCTGGTAGTTATGGGTACTTTTTACTGAAGTACATTTCAAAGCCCATACTTCTTTACTTTGACTTGAGTAAAGGATGTGTGTACTCTTTCATCTCTGCTCATGGCGCTCTGCACACAGCGGGGGCGTCTGTTTGTTCTGACCTCCAGCCTGATGCCCCCGCACCGTCACAAACATCTTCCTCCACTGACCCCCATCCTCCGAATCACAAAACCACCGACTCTGAGAGAGTAGATCACGTCAGTCTGAATCTGAGACGGAGGTTTTAAAACTCATCCTCATTTCACAAACTGAACATCGGCCACAGTGTTATTCAAGAATATGTTTATTTACAGAGGTTCAAACTCAATAATTCCCCTCCGTTATGAACCGTCCTGAGAGTCAACCTCTTAAATGATCGTGGTGTCACAATCACATGTTGAAATCTCCTCAAATCCAGTGAGCCAGGCTCAGGGTGAGGTCAGGGTCAAAGTGAGAGGGCACTTTGTTGAATTATCACAGTGTGTTAACAAGAGAGACCCTTCCAGACCCTCCCACACACACACACACACACACACACACACACACACACACACACACACACACACACACAACACACACACACACACACATACACACATACACACACACACCACACACACACACACACACTGCCTGACCACCAGTATTACATACACATGCCACACACACACACACACACACACACACACACACACACACACACACACACACACACACACACACACACACACACTGCCTGACCACCAGTATTACATACACATGCCACACACACACACACACACACACACACACACACACACACACACACACACACACGAATAGAACATTATATGATTTATGTAAAGCATGTTTAGAATGTTGAACCTGATTTTAACCCTCCACATTTTTTTAGGATTTCCAAACATAAGAAATATAAAGTGTATGAAAGTTGAACTAAATGTAAATATGCAACACACAAGGCATGTTTGTCTTTAGGGGATCCCAAATGAAGACTCAAACTAACAAAAAAACACAAGTCTTTACATCGCAAACGTTCACATTTAATTGAAACGCTTACTGTAAAGTCAAGGTTTTTGATTTTCCTTTTCTTCTGATATTTCATGCAGTATGGTTTGATGTCCACTGGGGGTCAGCAGAGGGTCATCTGCAGATTCAACTGAGAGGAAAACTAAACTCCTTTTACGGAAAGCATTCAATTAAAGAAGAAACTGTTGTGATTAAGACCACTTATACCCCTTTCACACCAACGGTGTTTCAGGGCCGGTTCGGTGCTGGTGCTTGAAAAGCACCGGGTTTTCCTGTTCACACCGCAGCGGAGCAGCGTCATAGCTCCGGAATCCGGTTCGTTTCGAGCACCAAAAAGTTGTCCGTCTAGAAGCAAGAACCGCATACGTCACGCTTACGTCGGAGGGGGGGCGAGATTAACCTGAGCTAACACTTAAGGCGAGTACGGCAAATAAAAGTTGTAACAAGCAGTAGTGCTGAGCAAAGTGACTAGAACGCAACCACACACTTGTTAAAAAAAACACACTTTATAAAGTCAGGCAACACTAACCAGGCTTCGTGTGATTCTGTTTATTTGTACCTTACTTTGACCATCCGTTCTCTGTTATTGATCATTGTGGAGAGCAGGCAGACGTTTTGTGTGTTATTATAGCAGCTATCGGATGGAATCAATACATGGGCTGCACAGGTTGTCATGTCCGACTATCACAAGTAGAATCATAATGAAAAATACGTCGGTAAAAAGTGCCTGTAGAATACTGCTTAGCAAGTAGTCAGTTTAGCTTCGGTTGCTATGCTAACATCACCCATGTTATACCAGAGAAACTTTCATAACAGCGTTGTGATGCCAAACAGCGTCAATTCAGACTGACACACATTCACTTAAGGGGAACTGGGGATATGTATCAGCTGCTTGTGTGACAGTCAGACAGTGAATACTTTAGAGCCGTGTGAGCTAACCCGGACCTAACGGGAGAATACACTCCCGTTGAAGAGCAGCCGGCCAGCACTGCAGCGGTCGGTAAATGCCGCTGAAACACATTAATAAACAATGAACCACGGCACTCTGGAGAAAAGTATAAGGTTGGAGAAGTCGTTATTTAATTTAATCTGGCTTCGTATGATTAAAAGCAACGCAGTCCCCGGCCCGTTGTTGTGAGGTGAGCTCCGGCGTTGGGGAGAAACTCAGCGACGTAAACTGTGACGTCATGACGCAGCAGCGGCAGCACCAGTCGGGCTCTGAGCGGTGTGAAAAGAGCCGGCGCTAAACCGAAGAACCGGTTCTGAACCAGAAAAGCTCTAGCACGGAGCTTGAACCGGAGTTGCGTTGGTGTGAAAGGGGCATTAAAGGTGGGGTAGGTAAGTTTGAGAAACCGGCTCGAGATACACTTTTTGTTATATTCCATGGAATGCTCTTAACATCCCGATAGCAATGAATATCTGAAGTGCTTTGACAAAAAATCCATAAAAAAATGTCATCTGTGGAAGCCGTAATACTGTAAAAAGCACGACCAATCATCTGAGCCGGCCCGGCTAAAATAACTGGATGGCCTACCTGCCTGTCAGCCTTCCATCTGTGCACAAACTTATCTCGTGCCCTCATTGGTCATGTGCGCGTTCGTGTGTGTTGGAGGAGGGGCTCTGTAAGGAAGTGGCAGATGTTCTCTGGTTGTGTATTTTCAAATTCTAGCGATCTCGAGCCGGTTTCTCAAACTTACCTACCCCACCTTTAAAGGTCCCCTATTATCCTCGTCTTCATCAATATATCACAGGTCTCAGATATATACAGAGCCTGTCTCTGATTGGCTGAAACACCAAACAGCTCATTGCAGCATTACCCATAATCCCCTCTGTTTCAGCCCTGTTTCCAAAGTGCTGATTCTCTGTCTGTTACTTTAGATGAAAATAAGGAGCCCCTCCCCACGCCCCTCTGAGAGAGATTTGGTTACAAATAACTCAATGGTGCTCTAGGAGAAGATTCAGGTGATAAGGTGGGGGGGGGGGGTTTACCTTGGTTGCTGATTGGCTAATGGTTACACAAGACAACGTTATGACATCATAAAGTGGCCAAAATCTGATCAGCTCATTTTCAGACAGGTTTTTATAGAAATGGATCAGGACAGAAAGAGAGAGAATCTTTGTTCCTGAAACTTTCAGAGTCTCTTTCCACAGAGGGGACACATGTTGATGTAGAAGAGACATGAAGAAGAGGGGATACATGTTGATGAAGAAGAGACATGAAGAAGAGGGGACACATGTTGATGAAGAAGAGACATGAAGAAGAGGGGACACATGTTGATGTAGAAGAGACATGAAGAAGAGGGGACACATGTTGATGTAGAAGAGACATGAAGAAGAGGACTTTGCTTAATATGGGACCTTGTATTCATTTTTTAGGTTGAAAATTCCTCTTAAAAATGCAGCCTTTTTGAAATGTCCTAAACCTCCGATGATTGGATCGAGGTGAGTGGTTTTGTGTTTGTTCATTTTGAGTTTGTATATGAAATGTGTGACCTTCATGTGTCCTGGCCCTCAGACAGCAGCTCTCTGAGACTCTTTGTGTTTGAACATGGCAGCGGGACGACAGAGCAAACAGAGAGGAGCGCTGGGAGGAAACTCAGAACACGGGAACTCTATAGCATTAAACATGGATACAACCAAGAGACACAAAGGGACTGCGTAAAGCTGCAGAACCACGCAGAACATGTGCAACGTGACCACCAGGGGGTGCAAACCAACACGCAAAGATAGGTGCACATGCATGGTCAGAAAGATGCATATTGTAAATGCATCCTTTAAAACTGTTTATATTTCATTATTATTTAAATTCTTATCTCAGCGCAGACTGTGACCTGACAGGAGATCTGTGTTTACTCTGTGTGTGAGAGCTCAGATAAGGTGTGTGTGTGTGTGTGTGTGTGTGTGTGTGTGTGTGTGTGTGTGTGTGTGTGTGTGTGTGTGTGTGTGTGTGTGTGTGTGTGTGTGTGGTGTGTGTGTGTGTGTGTGTGTGTGAGAGTGTGAGAGAGAGTGTGAGAGAGAGAGAGAGAGTGTGAGAGAGAGGAGAGAGAGAGAGAGAGAGTGTGAGAGAGAGAGAGAGAGTTAATATGTAGTGTCAGCCGTGCAGGGCATCACATTGAGAGACAGACGGAGACACAGAGGAGTGAAGAGACGCTCAGGAACTGATTCACTCTGACAGACTTTTAAACTCTTCTTCTTCTCCTTCTTCCTCCTCTTCTTCCTCCTCCTCTTCCTCAGCATGTCGGTTCTTCCTCTGCGTGTGAGAATGCTGCGGCAGGTGTGGAGGTGGAGGGGGGTCCTGGTCCTCGTGTGCAGCCCCTTCCTGCTGCTGCCGCTGGCCCTCAGCACCACGGTGAGGAACCACATATTAATATGAAATACTTTAAAGAGCACGACCTGCTTCAGACGCAGCTTGACACACGACGTGATGAACCTGCAACGCGTTGAGATCATACAAAAAGCTGACAGGTCAAATGTAAAGACTGGGTCATATAAAGTACAAACAGTAAGAAGTCATTGTGCGGAATACCTTATTTTACATTATTGCATTTGAAAAAAGGCAAATAAAAATGTGGTTGGAAATTCCTCGAAAGTAGGATTTTTTAAGTAAAATTTCAAAGTAAAAAAATGTAAACAAACAATTGGAAAACATCACAATCAATGTCTTAAAAATAAGTGAAATATGGAGCCCTGAAAAATGTTACATAAAAAAAAATTATAGAAATATAAAAAATGACACAGAAGTGTTTACAAAAAGTATGTATGAAAAAAAAAGTCCATAAAGAAATGTGAAAAAGGAAAAATAAGTGAAATATAGTTATTTAAGAAGGTTTCAGGTGCCTGTAAATTGTAAAAATCAATGTCATTGTGCAGAACAATATATATCATATTATTATTATAGTTAAAAAATGTATACTTCACATTAAAGGGGACCTATCATGCAAAAGTCACTTGTTGATGTCGTTGATTATACGTCACTATGTGTCCCCGGTGTGTCAGGGAACTCACGCAGCGTCAGGAAATAAAACCCTCTCTCTTTTCCTCCGTACCCAAATCTCTAAAAACGGGGGAACAACGGAGCTGATCCAGATTTGCATCCGATATGACGTAATATCTGAAATGTGGACCCACGGCCCTATCAGAAAGTTGCTATCAGAAACAATGCCCGACTGTTTTGGACGTAATATGGTCGGTGTTTACATTAGCATCGCTAACACTCAGAGCTAACCTGCACTGGAGAGCATGTGTGTGAAGAAGCAGGAAATAAAAAGGAACTCACCTTGTGGTATAACCGGCAAGAGAGAAAGCCTTTGAGCTCCATACTGTTTCAGAAAGAATCCTTGATAATCCATGATATGGCGTTTCATCACGGTAGCATTTAATTTAGACGGTAGCTGCCGGGTCCCGCATAAGCTCCGCCCCTTCCTTTTTTATCAATGTTTTAATTTGTTAAAGCTTTATACCCAAATCAGCACTTTTGAAACAGGAAGTGAAATAGAGGGATATGAGGCATGGCTAGAATGGGTGATCTGTTTGGTATTTTGAGCAAAACACTTCATAGACATGTTTTTTATATATTTTTATATATCTGAGACCTATGCTGTTGCCTAAAAATAGCATCATAGGTCACCTTTAAATTAAGTAAAAACATTCCAGAAATATGGAAAAAAAATGAAAAAGATTCGATAACAATTTGAAAAATTACGGATTTTCCTCCTTTTTTTTGGAAAAGTTTGTGACTTTTTTTATATAAAGTAAAAACGTTGATTATAAATAATATCATTATAAAGTTGAATTACTCCCAGAGTCGTACTGAAAAGCAGTTCTGCAGTAAATGTACTTTAGAGGTTGTTTATGTTCCTGATTCAGACTCTTCTTCCTGCCGTCGGACATTAACTCTCTCTGTCACTGATTCACGGCCGGAGTAAAAGTTCACCGTCAGTTAGAGAAGAGTTCACACTGAGACGGTTTCCACAGGACTGAGGGCGTTACTATACACATATAATAAGAGGAAATAACATATAATAGCAACTGCAGCAAAAGTGAAGAATGTAAATAGAAAGTAGAAAGGAACTGCAATAGAAATATACAGAAATATATATTAAAATATGCAATGGGTTTTCTGGTTCATGGTGATAGTAAGTAAAAGAGTTTGGTGCAAATAATAACCCTCCAAACTCACTGAGAAAAAGATATTCAACTTTGTGTGTGTGTGTGTGTGTGTGTGTGTGTGTGTGTGTGTGTGTGTGTGTGTGTGTGTGTGTGTGTGTGTGTGTGTGTGTGTGTGTGTGTGTGTGTGTGTGTGTGTGTGTGTGTGTGTGTGTGTGTGTGTGTGTGGTGTGTGTGTGTGTGTGTGTGTGTGTGTGTGTGTGTGCAGGAGGCAGCCTGTGCCTATGTGATCCTCCTCATGGCGGTGTTCTGGTGTACGGAGGTTTTGCCACTGGCGGTGACGGCGCTGCTGCCGACCATCCTGTTCCCAGTGCTGGGCATCATGGAGTCCAAAGACGTGAGGCACACACACATACACACACACACACACACACACACACACACAAAACGGGAGAACAACGGAGCTGATCTGTTTGGTATTTTGAGCAAAACACTTCATCGACATGTTTTTTATATATTTGTATATATCTGAGACCTATAATATATGCCCTAAAAATAGTATAATAGGAGACCTTTAATATAAGTAGGCTACTCCCTCATCATGTGGTCCACCTGTGTGTCTCTACTTAGGTGTGCATGCAGTACCTGAAGGACACCAACATGCTGTTTGTGGGGGGACTGATGGTGGCCGTGGCCGTGGAGCACTGGAACCTCCACAAGCGCATCGCTCTGAGGGTCCTGCTGCTGGTGGGGGTCCGGCCCGCTCTGTGAGTCACACTGAACTGTTTATTTTCTGTTTTACTTTTGAATAGTCAGTCTGTCAGTTTCCGGTTTTACTTTGAAAGATGTTCACCCCCTGTCTCATGTCTGCATTTGCTTCCTGTCTCTGAGCTCCCTCCTGTCTGATTGTCTTATCGGCCCAATTCCAAACCTACACACTACCCCTCCGTTTGTGCGTTCTCGCGGAGGGTCCGCCACATTAGGTGCTGTTCCAAACCAACGAGTGGGTAGGGTGTGGTTTGTCTTGTGATTGCCCCTGTGTATGTAGTCTTGCTTGCCCTTGTGTTCCTTGTCCCCCTTTATATTTACACATTTACAGGATTTCAAGGAACCGTTGGGAACCATGTCTTACGCCGTTGTTGTTGTTGTTGTCTCTAACAAACTGTCTACAGACGGTAAACCGTGAATTAGATTGGCACAATTGATAGCTAGGACCATTGTAAAAAACAACAACAATGCTGTGTTATGGCGCATTTCCACCATGGCGCGGAGCGCGGTTTAAGCATGCCGTGTCGTGCCGGGCCCGTTTTTGGTTGTGTTTCCACTAGGCCTAGTTCCGGCCCGGGGCTACTTTTTCACCTTTTTTCTGGCCCGACAAAATCGTGGTTCTATCGGGGCCAACAAACAGGGCTGAGTCGGGCTGAGTTTGCTAAACTAGAGAGAGAATCGCTGGCAAGGGGGCTACAACTACAACAAGATGAACATATTTGACCGTGATTTAATTGTAATACACGTTTCAAAATGATGCCGAAGTAACAACATACTGATACCGGTTAGTAAAAACCATGAATTAATGCTTTGACAAGTCTGCAGACAGACGGCAGGCGAAAAACCTTTTAAAATGCGTGTTTTCTAAATGGAGATCGGCTAAGCTAACGTTGTATATGCTCCGACCGTCCACACTCACAACAACGGCCTATACAGACATAAATAAACCAGCGACTGTATTCGCCATGACACAGGCAGTCTGTGGTTTGTACTTGTTTAACTTTTGTCTAGTTTCTGAACAGATATGAGGAGCTGTGAGCTCTGAGTGCTAACAGCTAACGGCTGTGTTGTTTTTCTGGGGTTCTCATTGAAGATGACGTCACGGCGCCGCTTACACTGCGTTACTATAGTTACTGCCCCAGCTACTAAACTGTAATGGAAGCGCAGCATTAAAGTGAGCCGGGCCTAACAAGGCCTAACAAAAACGTACTAAGTCGAGCGAGGCCTGCGGTGGAAATGCGCCATTAGTTACTTTTTGTTCTTATGAAATGATCCGGACCCGGTTGCTCTGTCTGTATCCGGTTGTTTCCGCCCGAACTGTTTCACATTCTGACGCTCAGATTTCCCATCAGGCATAATTGTTTTTTTCCCTCAACAGTTTGAAATGAATGCTAACGTAAGCATGTCAAACATTGGTCATACTGGTTAAAAAATGCCCCTTAAGAGTTTCAAACCCTCTGGTTCTCTGGTCTTTTTGTTGACGATTGTTGAAGCTTCGTCACATTTTTAACGCCTCCTTCCTTCCTCTGGCAGGTTGATGCTGGGCTTCATGGGAGTGACCGCCTTCCTCTCCATGTGGATCAGCAACACGGCCACCACCGCCATGATGGTGCCCATCGTGCAGGCCGTCCTGCAGCAGCTGCACGGGAACCTGGAGCCTGAGCCGTCCAGCGAGGCCCGGAGGAAGAGGAGCGTCGACCAGAACCAGGACCACCAGGAGAAACCCAGCCACACCCCGCAAACTGCTGCCAACAACAGCCTGGAGAACGGTACGACTGATGACCTGCTGGACCCAAATATGGCAGACAATCAATCAATCCACAACTTTATTAATCTCGCAAGGGACAGTTGGTTATGAGCAGCTTCTGTCATGTACTCAGGCAGGAAGATACAGGGAGAAAGCTCACAGAAACACCCCTGGATGTGGATCATTCACATTTACACGATAAGTAGTTCACAGCGTCACAATACATAAGTGAATAAATAATCAAGTTAAAAACCTGATTATTTATTTATCTATTTATTGTGATGCTGTGAATACTGTTTTAGAGAAACCAGCCCCGATTAGATCGATCCGTAGAGCAAGACTCATTCAGTGCCAATGCAAAGATCAATGAGTCTCTGATGAAGGGAGGGAAACCAGAGACTAGTACGATTACAGACCTGCGATCATTTAGCCAAACGAAACCTCAATCCTGCGTTTACATTTCAAAGAAAATGCTAAATGTGTTTCTGATGAAAGTCTCCATAAGATCAGGGTGGTCTGATAGGTCAAACAAAAACAGGACTTTGACCCAGGTTTCTGTTGATCGTGTTCTTTTGTAAATGTATAGCAATATATACAATTTTTGTCAAGACATTTGACTTAAATACCAGAACATTAACCTTAAGGAAGCACCAGAGGTAAAGTCAGAAGATCGCCGACGTCTTTAGGAGGTTCATCTTGTGGGAAGCATCGATATTAACCCTTCTCCACTTGGTTCTAGCTCTGTGCTGGTTTGGTTCCCAGTTGGTTCAACTTAGGGAAATATATGTATCAAATTGTAACTGGAGTGTTATTGTCTATTTGCTTCAGAAACGTATATATTTTGAATTCCAATGATTCTGATGTTCCTAACCTTTATATCTTCGAGTGATAACCAATCATGGTCCCTGGTAGACCCCCACACATATAGCAACATAGACTATGCTATCACACCCCTGGTTGTGAAATACCAATTATTTGCAATATATATATATATATATATATATATATGCCATTAATAACTGTACTGTAATACCTGTTACAAGATGTCTATTTGTAAATTGTATAATCTTTTTAAAACATGTTTATCTTTAATATTTTTGTGCGCATGCTTCTTAGTTAATATTAAGCGTTTTTGGCTTTTTTTCTTTCTGTAACAAATGCAAATTTCCCCTCTGTGGGACGAGTAAAGGTATTCTGATTCTGACTTGAAATACGATGGATTCCGAAGATACTGACGTTTTTCTGAGTATGATGTTGAACTTCTGAATGATTCCTCTCAGGTCAGAATGGAGCGACTTTAACACAAAGCAACGCAGAGACAACCAGCGACGTACAAGACAACCGGTCCTCTGAGGAGAAGGCTTCATCGGCGGTGGAGACGGACAAACCTCCGTCAGAGGGCGCCAACACCGGGCCTGGTGAGTTCACAGGATGCGAACCAAATAATATCTGAACCTACATGTGAAGGAACGGAACAAATCTTTGTCTTCCTTCCAAGAAACCATTGTTAGTCAAATAGGAGTTTAATGAGTGGTATCACAGCCATTGGTTTGGATACTGTTTTAGACGTACAATCTTTGAAATGTTGCCATCGCCAACTTCATTTTTTGGTTTTAGGAGGGACCATATTTGGACAATAGGTTGCAGCTAAAAGAGCAAAGTTGATTTTGAGTTACCTGCTAACGTTCACACTCGCTGGCTAGCTTGGTTTGCAAGACCAGCCACCATATTTTAGGAATAAGACCAAAAATAGCAGTAGATAGCAGTAATAAAGTTATTTCAATGAGATCTCAGCTACAACACCGTCTGTTAATGAAGAGATCATCATGTCTCTACAAGTAGTTTTTTAATAAATGACCTGAAACTAACCTACAGGAAGATAAAACCACTCTTGAAACTGATGCGCCGTTTGTAAATGACCCATATTAGTGTTCAACATGTAGTAAAACATAATGATAATGAGTGCAGTGCTGCTGGAGAGCGTCTGCTGTCAGATGGAGCTGGAGGAGCTGAGCGATGAAGACGAGGAGAAGAGGAGGATGAGTAAAGGACTCCTGCTGAGTGTTTGCTACGCTGCGAGCATCGGAGGCATCGCCACGCTGACCGGCACCGGACCCAACCTGGTGCTGATGGGCCAGATGAGCCAGTACGTGATCATAACCAACCTTTAGATCAGGGGTGGGAAGTAGTGGATTACAAATACTTCATTACTCTAGTAGTACATTTCTCTGGTATCAGTACTTTACTCCACTACTTATTTTTCTGACCACTTTTTACTTTGACTTCTTACATTTTGAACCCAAATACCTGTACTTTCTACTTCTTACATGTTGAACACAAATACCTGTACTTTCTACTTCTTACATTTTGAACCCAAATACCTGTACTTTCTACTTCTTACATGTTGAACACAAATACCTGTACTTTCTACTTCTTACATGTTGAACCCAAATACCTGTACTTTCTACTTCTTACATGTTGAACCCAAATACCTGTACTTTCTACTTCTTACATTTTGAACACAAATACCTGTACTTTCTACTTCTTACATTTTGAACCCAAATACCTGTACTTTCTACTTCTTACATGTTGAACACAAATACCTGTACTTTCTACTTCTTACATTTTGAACCCAAATACCTGTACTTTCTACTTCTTACATGTTGAACCCAAATACCTGTACTTTCTACTTCTTACATGTTGAACACAAATACCTGTACTTTCTACTTCTTACATTTTGAACCCAAATACCTGTACTTTCTACTTCTTACATGTTGAACACAAATACCTGTACTTTCTACTTCTTACATTTTGAACCCAAATACCTGTACTTTCTACTTCTTACATGTTGAACACAAATACCTGTACTTTCTACTTCTTACATGTTGAACACAAATACCTGTACTTTCTACTTCTTACATTTTGAACCCAAATACCTGTACTTTCTACTTCTTACATGTTGAACACAAATACCTGTACTTTCTACTTCTTACATTTTGAACCCAAATACCTGTACTTTCTACTTCTTACATGTTGAACACAAATACCTGTACTTTCTACTTCTTACATGTTGAACACAAATACCTGTACTTTCTACTTCTTACATGTTGAACACAAATACCTGTACTTTCTACTTCTTACATGTTGAACACAAATACCTGTACTTTCTACTTCTCACATGTTGAACACAAATACCTGTACTTTCTACTTCTTACATGTTGAACTCAAATACCTGTACTTTCTACTTCTTACATGTTGAACACAAATACCTGTACTTTCTACTTCTTATATGTTGAACTCAAATACCTGTACTTTCTACTTCTTACATGTTGAACACAAATACCTGTACTTTCTACTTCTTACATGTTGAACTCAAATACCTGTACTTTCTACTTCTTACATGTTGAACCCAAATACCTGTACTTTCTACTTCTCACATTTTCCAAACAGGCTGGTTCCTTTAGTTTGAATGTGTGTTTGGTGGCGTGATCATTATTATTTAGAGTCATTGCGTGCCTATTGATTTGAACACGATCCGTGTATCCATCATTTCCTGGTCTTCTCTAAAGAAGAGGGACCAATGAAAACGTTGTCATGTTGCCGTTGTTCAGCATGGAAACATTCATTAGCTAACAATGACATTATTGTTCTATTAATATAAAGGGAGGTCAGGTACTCTTTAAAACAGCTGCTAGTTATGGGTACTTTTTTTGTTCTTGAGTGCAATACTTGAGAAAATGTACTTAGATACTTGCACCATTGCTAATTAGTCTTAACAGTTACAGTTGGTCTCCAGGTGTAGTTCGTTAATAGAAATTCATTATTAGACTTCTGCTAAACGTAAAAGCAGTGGATCGGGGTAGGACTGGAGTTAACTGCGGTTAAAGGTGTTGGGTTTCCCTAAGAAATGTACTTGTACCACACGATTTCACATTTAGAACCAGTACCCATTGACAAGTTTCCGAGGCCCTCTGTCTAGTGTCTGAAAACGTGGCTGTACCAAAGTATTGTCAGTGAAGGTTAGGTCAAATTCATAACTCATTAAGGTCCCAGTTTTAGACAAGTTAGGGTTATTTTTGTTTAAAGTAGAAACGTTTTTATATTTAAGCCCTGCTATCGGTTGTTTAAATGTTTGGTTAGATCGGCTACAGACAACAGCTGTCCAAGACTTTAAACCAACAGACTTGAGTGAACTGTTGTGACTCGAGGATGTTAGACTTAGTTTTAAATGTTTTCTGGTGACTACTGAAAACAGAAGAGATGTTTTAGCAACAACAGCAGAATTGAGGACCTTAAATTAATAAATATTGATGATATTCTTTATAAGTTAGGTAGTTTAACTCTCACAATCGTTATTTTCTGTCTCTCCCTCGTAGACTCTTCCCTCAGAACGGAGACGTGATCAACTTTGCGTCCTGGTTCTTGTTCGCGTTCCCCACGATGCTGCTGACGCTGACGCTCGCCTGGTTCTGGCTGCAGTTCCTCTTCATCGGCTGCAAGTGAGTCGCCAGGATACGATAATATACCCATTAATCTACAGATCGTCAACCTTTGTATTGTCTTCCCATCAAGGTCTGGTTTGACTGTTTATAAAAGATATATTATAAAACATCAGTCAATTCAGAAATCAATCAATCAATAATAATAATAACATTAAAGTATTTACATTGAATATGATTGAAAACGTAGAAATATAATTGGAACAAAATATGTGCAATAATGTGCTACTGCGTTTTAGATTATTAGATTATTTTAACAAGTGTTTCTCTTTTTTCTGGAATTTAGGGACAATAGACCCAGTTTGCACAAAATTAAACCTTATTTTTGAGTAAATAAAAGGCAAAAAGTTGATTATTTTGACTCTAGCTTGAGGAAAAGAGTGGACGGATAATCACATACTGGTAAATGCCAAAGTTCAGTCAGAAATCCAATCAAAATGTACCAATGATAGACCAACGATGCTTCAATGTAAGTAGTGATCATCTATTTGTCATTCAAAGAACGTATGGAACCATCCATGTGGTCTTTGTGCTGATTAAATGAGAGAACCCCTAATTCTGACACACGAAAACATTGGAAAATAGGTCATATTGGACTCAAGCACAACTGGAAAGCTAAATTCTCTGTGTTTTCCGTTCAGCCTGAGGAAGACGTGGGGTTGCGGGACGGTGCACACGGAGAAGGAGCGAGCGGCGTACGAAGTGATGCGGGAGGAGCACCGGCGCCTGGGCCCGGTGAGTTACGGAGAGCTCAACGTTCTGGGGCTGCTCATCCTCATGGTGGCGCTGTGGTTCACACGAGACCCGCGCTTCATGGACGGCTGGGCGACGCACGTCTTCAACGCCAAGGCCGAGTGAGTGCCAACAAACTAACACACCAGTGTATGTCCTGTTATTCATGGGTTGATTTAGAAAGGCCGGGCTAGAGATGCAACCAAAGAAGTTTGCAGTTTCATATTTTTGAGTTGTTTAAAGGTCTCCTATTATACTCTCTTTCATCGTGATATGAGGGGGGGTTACCTTGGTTGGTGATTGGCTAATGGTTACACAAGACAACACATCGTGATGACATCATAAAGTGGCCAAAATCTGATCAGCTCATTTTCAGACAGGTTTTTATAAAAATGGATCAAAAAGAGAGAGAATCTTTGTTCCTGAAACTTTCAGACTCTCTTTCCACAGAGGGGACACATGTTGATGTAGAAGAGACATGAAGAAGAGGGGACACATGTTGATGTAGAAGAGACATGAAGAAGAGGGGACACATGTTGATGTAGAAGAGACATGAAGAAGAGGGGACACATGGTGATGTAGAAGAGACATGAAGAAGAAGGGACACATGTTGATGTAGAAGAGACATGAAGAAGAGGGGACACATGTTGATGTAGAAGAGACATGAAGAAGAGGGGACACATGTTGATGTAGAAGAGACATGAAGAAGAGGGGACACATGTTGATGTAGAAGAGACATGAAGAAGAGGGGACACATGGTGATGTAGAAGAGACATGAAGAAGAGGGGACACATGTTGATGTAGAAGAGACATGAAGAAGAGGGGACACATGTTGATGTAGAAGAGACATGAAGAAGAGGGGACACATGTTGATGTAGAAGAGACATGAAGAAGAGGGGACACATGGTGATGTAGAAGAGACATGAAGAAGAAGGGACACATGTTGATGTAGAAGAGACATGAAGAAGAGGGGACACATGTTGATGTAGAAGAGACATGACGAAGAGGGGACACATGTTGATGTAGAAGAGACATGAAGAAGAGGGGGACACATGTTGATGTAGAAGAGACATGAAGAAGAAGGGACACATGTTGATGTAGAAGAGACATGAAGAAGAGGGGACACATGTTGATGTAGAAGAGACATGAAGAAGAGGGGACACATGTTGATGTAGAAGAGACATGAAGAAGAGGGGACACATGTTGATGAAGAAGAGACATGAAGAAGAGGGGACACATGTTGATGTAGAAGAGACATGAAGAAGAGGGGACACATGTTGATGTAGAAGAGACATGAAGAAGAGGGGACACATGTTGATGTGGAAGAGACATGACGAAGAGGGGACACATGTTGATGTAGAAGAGACATGAAGAAGAGGGGACACATGTTGATGTAGAAGAGACATGAAGAAGAGGGGACACATGTTGATGTGGAAGAGACATGAAGAAGAGGGGACACATGTTGATGTGGAAGAGACATGAAGAAGAGGGGACACATGTTGATGTAGAAGAGACATGAATAAGTTGATTTTGCATAATAGGTGACCTTTAAAGTCGAGTTACAGACATCGTTAGTTATAAACGGGTTTGGGGAGTAACGGATTAAACAGGAGCCGGATACAAAGTCAGGTGACTGTACAGTTTCATAAATAAAGACCAACTCAAACCCTTCGTAGTCATTTCACATACGAGGGGACTCATGTTTATGTATAAAAGACATGAAGAAGTGTATTTTGCAGAATAGGTGACCTTCAAGACTTCATAACCGTATAATACAAACTTTGACTACTATCTAATAGACATGAAAGAGATGGGGCGACCCAAAGCCATACAGAAGGGGAAGGAAAGCAATGTGTGACGCTGTGTGTGTGTGTGTGTGTGTGTGTGTGTGTGTGTGTGTGTGTGTGTGTGTGTGTGTGTGTGTGTGTGTGTGTGTGTGTGTGTGTGTGTGTGTGTGTGTGTGTGTGTGTGTGTGTGTGTGTGTGTGTGTGTGTGTGTGTGTGTGCGCGCGCATTAATGCAAAGTTAAACTCAGACGCTGCCTCGGGGCAAAATCCCAAACACACAGGAACCCGAGGCGAAGAACAAACAGAGGAAACGTGTCCCGAGTCCAAACTGAAAACCCTGTTCACTGACCTGCAAACAGACTGCAGGTCACCAAGAGCAGGGTGCCCTTTCACCCAGAAACACAGAGAACATTTGGAGCTACCTATGTTGCAAATGTATTATCTTTTCAATTTACACACGGCATCTATTGCACGTCTGTCCGTCCTGGGAGAGGGATCCCTCCTCTGTTGCTCTCCCTGAGGTTTCTCCCATGTTCCCCTTTAAACTGTGGGTTTCTCTCTGGAAGTGTTTCCTTGTACGATGTGAGGGTCTAAGGACAGAGGGTGAGGGTCTAAGACTAGAGGTCCTGAGACTAAAGACCGGTCCTGAGACTAGAGGTCCTGAGACTAAAGACCGGTCCTAAGACTAGAGGTCCTGAGACTAGAGGTTCTGAGACTAGAGGTCCTGAGACTAGAAGTCCTGAGACTAAAGACCGGTCCTGAGACTAGAGGTCCTGAGACTAGAGGTCCTGAGACTAGAGGTCCTGAGACTAGAGGTCCTGAGACAAGAGACAAGTTCTGAGACTAGAGACCGGTCCTGAGACTAGAGGTCCTGAGACTAAAGACCGGTCCTGAGACTAGAGGTCCTGAGACTAGAGGTTCTGAGACTAGAGGTCCTGAGACTAGAGGTCCTGAGACTAAAGACCGGTCCTGAGACTAGAGGTCCTGAGACTAGAGGTCCTGAGACTAGAGGTCCTGAGACTAGAGGTCCTGAGACAAGAGACAAGTTCTGAGACTAGAGACCGGTCCTGAGACTAGAGGTCCTGAGACTAAAGACCGGTCCTGAGACTAGAGGTCCTGAGACTAGAGGTTCTGAGACTAGAGGTCCTGAGACTAGAGGTCCTGAGACTAAAGACCGGTCCTGAGACTAGAGGTCCTGAGACTAGAGGTCCTGAGACTAGAGGTCCTGAGACTAGAGGTTCTGAGACTAGAGACCGGTCCTGAGACTAGAGGTCCTGAGACTAAAGACCGGTCCTAAGACTAGAGGTTCTGAGACTAGAGGTCCTGAGACTAGAGGTCCTGAGACTAAAGACCGGTCCTGAGACTAGAGGTTCTGAGACTAGAGGTCCTGAGACTAGAGGTCCTGAGACTAAAGACCGGTCCTGAGACTAGAGGTCCTGAGACTAGAGGTCCTGAGACTAGAGGTCCTGAGACTAGAGGTCCTGAGACTAGAGGTCCTGAGACTAGAGGTTCTGAGACTAAAGACCGGTCCTGAGACTAGAGGTTCTGAGACTAGAGGTCCTGAGACTAGAGGTCCTGAGACTAAAGACCGGTCCTGAGACTAGAGGTCCTGAGACTAGAGGTCCTGAGACTAGAGGTTCTGAGACTAGAGGTCCTGAGACTAAAGACCGGTCCTGAGACTAGAGGTCCTGAGACTAGAGGTCCTGAGACTAGAGACAAGTTCTGAGACTAGAGACCGGTCCTGACCAATTTCAACATGTCACCTGATTGACGGACCCAAACTCCACCTTTTACCTCCATCCTGAAACTGGAAGTACAGAGAGAAGGACTTGATAATCACTCAACTTCAACGTCAAGAACTAGATTGATTTCGTGTAACATTCACACTTTCAGTTGAGGAAAAACAACAAGTGCTTTTGGTCAAATTCATCCTTGCACTTTCCATATAACGCTGAAACCTTTACGCGTGATATAATACTCTTTGTGAAGTGCAAACAATGTGTTAATGAAATCTAAAACAAACATTAAATGTGGTTTTATGAAATTGTAATGCTGTAGATGCAAGAAAAGACTCCACATCCT